TTAGGAAAAAAAATAAGGCCTCTGGAAATGATGGAATTTTGATAAATTTTGACGCCACCCTGGATAGGCTCACCAGTCTCTACCAACAAACATGATAGATAGATACCTGGCCCACTGACTGAAAGATGTCCATATTTACTCCCATTTAAAAAGGAGTGATTCAACAGAATTTGGAAATTATCCAACAAAATAATAACTATCACATACAAGTACAATTTTGTTCAAGATTATTAGAACATGGCTGGAACAATAATACATCAACAGGAAACTGCCAGAAATTCAAGCTGGATTCTAAAGAGGTCTTGGCACAGGGGATATTATTGCTAACATCAGATGATTCCTAGATGAAAGAAGAGAATACTAGAAAGATGTTTACTTGCCTTTTATTGACTCTGTAAAGTTCTTCAACTATTTGGATTATCATAAATTATGGATAACATCAAGAATTGAAATTGCAGAATACTAATTGTACTTATGTGAAAATTGTGCATAGAACAACTAGTCCTTTGAACAGAACAAGGGAATGTTCTGTGGTTTAAAATCAGGAAAGGTATGCATCAGGGTTGTACTATTTCATCATAGCTATTTAAATTTACATGCTGAGTAAATCATTTGAGAAGTTCAACAATATGAAGAAGAATGTGGCATCAGGATTGGAGGAAGCTTCATCAATAACCTAAGTTATGCAGATGACATAACCTTGCTTCCAGAAAGTGAAGAAGACTCGAAGCACTTACTGCAAAAGATCAAAGACTGTAGCCATCTATAGGAGTTAAATCTCAACATCAAGAAAACAAAAATACTCACCATTGGACATGTCATGATAGAAGGAGAAAAGATCAAAGTTGTCAGTTATTTCATTTTACTTGAATCCGCAATCAAACCCTTTGGAAATAGCATAAAGAAACAATGAGATCTATCTCACCGGGTAATCTGTTGGAATAAATACTTTAAAGTGATAATTTTAAAAAGTGATATTTACATGTATAAATATTCTATTTACATGTAAAAATATTATAAACAACTTAATATATTGGTTTTACTTTATATGAGAAGTCAATGAACATCATTCATATTTTAGGCAATTTGGAATATCTTCTGTGTCTCCCGGGGTACCTCTTTGGAATTGAGACCCAAGGCAAATGCTGCTCTCTGCACCCCTACGCCTCCGTATACTATGACTGAGAAAGGACATTGAGCTGGATGGGGACAATAGAAACTTCTCATTGGCTCCCCGTGTAGGTGGACCAAAGACTCATGCCTTAAGATACCTTACACATGCCTCTAGGTTTAACCACCTATTGTTCCACTGAATCAAGGATAAGCAAATGTCATTATGTAGGAAAGTGTGAGGCCTGGAAAAGGTAATGGCCCTTGGGGAGAATCAGAGCACAAGGAACCCTGGAGTTCAGGCAGGCAGATCCCAAAGGAGTGAAGTCCAAAGGCAATCTTCAATGTCAATTTACTTTTCTTTTCACTTTCCTTCTTCAGGCTGACTTTTAGTATCTTCGTCATGGAGTCCTCCTTTTTGCCATATGAGAGTCGTTATGGTGAGATGGATAAATGGGTTAAAGCACATGAGGTCTGTCTCAGTAGAGAAGGAAGGTGAAATTAATGGGCCCTGGGTAATTAGACATCTTTACTTGGATCCACAATCAACACCCAGGGTAACATCAGTGAAGAAATCAAAATGCATGTTGCAGTCAAGGACCTACCAAAAGTTCAAAATTATAAGAATATCTGTTGAAAGATTAAAGTTCCCCTGATCTAAGTCATGTTGTTTTCAGTTGTTGTTGTTGTTAGGTGCCGTTGTCACCTGTAATGACCCTTTGAACAGAAGATCTGAACCCCGCTCTATCCTGTATCATCCTCACACTTCCTGACACACTAGAGCCCACTGTGGCAGTCACTATGTCAATCCACCTGGTTGAGGGTCTTTCTCTTCTTCGCCGACCCTCCACCCTTCCCAGCATCACGTCCTTCTCCAAGGAATAGCCCCTCATAGCAACATGCCTACAGTATGTGAGGCAAAGCCTTGTCATTCTTGCCACCAAACAGCACTCTGGCTGCGCCCTCTCCAAGACGTATTTGTTTGTTCATTTGGCTGTCCATGAGATGTTCAGTGCTCCTCTCCAACCCCACAGCTCAAACACGTACTTTTGTCTTTTGTCATCCTTAGTCATTGTCCAGCTCTCAGACCCTTAGTAAGTGATTGGAAAGACTATGGCCTTAATAGGACACACCTTAGTCCTCAAACTGACATCATTACTCCTCAATAATTTGAAGAGGTCACTAACTGCAGATTTTCCCAGTGCAATGCATCTTCTTATTTCTTGACTGCTGAATTTGGAAGTTTAACAAGTAATAAGAATAGCAGAATAATCATCAAGAGTTGATGTCCTTGAGTTGTGTGGTGTTGGAAAAGAGTACTGAATGTGACATGAGCTAGATTACCTAGAGAGGGAAAAAACAAATCTATTTTGGAGAAAGTGCAACGAAGGTGCTCTTTAAAAATGAATAGGATGATGAAGGATGACGCTTTGTCTCACATATACTTTGGGCATGTTGGCAGGAGGGGCCAGTTCTTGGAAAAAGAGATGCGAAAGACAGGAAGACCCTCAACAAGATGGAATGACACAGTGACTGTAATCATGGGCTTAAGTATATCAGAAATTGTAAGAATGGCACAAGATAGGGTTTAAGTCACAAGTTCAAGTCCATTGTTCATAGGGTCACTATGAATTTTACTTGACTCCATGGCACCTAACAAACAACAGATGACTAAACCATAGGACTAGATGCAGGCTTGTCACTAATAGACTTGTGATGCAGGGAATATTTCCAAGAGCTTTAAGCCATAATTCTTCATGTGTGACATGCATCTGACAAGCCTTAAGGACTGTTAGATTGTGTGTTATGTAGGCCGCTGTCTTGCACAGAGCCTGGCAGGTATGTCATATGCAATGAATAGAGAACTCTGGTGGCCTAGCCCATAGAAATTTGCACTGCAAATCCCAAGGCCGTATCTCTCTGGCAGCTCGAATCCACCCACAGTGACTCCTCACTGGAAATATGGGCATCCTCCTGTGTGACTTATAGCCCCAGAAACCTAGTGGAGTGTAGGCTGTGAGGCAGTTTCAACTGGACAGCAAGTTTTAGTAAGTGGCAGATATTTATAGCATTATTTTAAACCCACATCCTACCACCTTTCATTTGTCTAGTGCAGCCTAATTCAGAATATGAAGATCTGTAGCGCTTCCAAGCCAAAGGTAGAAAGTTTAAATCCATCAATGGCTTCACTTAAGATGGGAAATTTAGTCCTATGAGATATACACTCTTTAAAAACCTGCTGGAGGGTCAGCTATGAGTCGGCTCCAACTCAATGGCTCATAACAGGATACAGAATATTAAACCAATGGACCAAAAGCTACCAAAAGTTTACACTGAGCAAAGTTTTGTCCTGTGAGATATATTATTTGAGTTTGTGAAAGGGTTTTTCCCCCCCAGCTCTACGCAACTTGAAGTTCCTAGAATTTTACACTAGGACCAATTCCTTTTCTTTCAACCACACTGTATTTTCGTTCTTTTCTCCCCCACCCACAACCTAGCCCTTCCTAGAGCTGGACAAATTGGGCCTAGGACAACCTAATTAAGCTGTCCTTTTAATGGGGTCAGTTTTGGCTCTCCCAGCCTGAACGATGCCATGCTAATGATTCTGGGTACCATTTCAAGAGACTATCACATTTTTCAGGAAACCCTTGCAGGTGACTTATCTAAAGGCATGTGGCTGTCCACTGTATTCAAATGCCCTGGGCCAGGAGCACAAAACACCTTCTACTTATGTCCCAGGTGGAGACTACTCCCTGGTTTGTACAAAAGTAACTACAAAGAGTAGCTTCCTATTCCAAACTTTCCCCTTCATTCTAAAGTCTGCTACCTGACAGTTGGACCCTGCCCCCTCCAGAATAATTTACAATTATGTTCCCTAATAGGAACTTTAGTGTCCTAGAGCTCCAAACTGCCTAGATTGGGGCACTTACCCTTGATTGCTCCCATCCCAACGGCAGGGCTCCTCTCATCTCTCTCAGGTCTTCTCTGGACTTGGTCTTTAGGTCTTAGAGGATGCATCACTATTGTGCTAACTTGACTCTACAATCCTACATGTAAGGGTGCATCCGTGCACAACACACTTTACCTTCCACGCAGCAGATGTTCAATTGATGTTTGGGGAATAAATGAGCCAGCAAGCAGGTTCTTTCATTTATTCACCATTCACGTATCAGCCAAACTAATATATGTTTAATTTTATAGAAGAACAGATTAAAAGCCATAAGGAAATTTGAAAACGAATTGCTTTTTACCTTTTCTATTTTTATTGTGGATTATTTCACATTGCCAAGGAGACTCCTAATTCCTTGTTATCTTGTCAAAGAATACAAAATTAGTGTATTTCTCTTACAAAATAATGAAATTTGTTCTTGAGCCAGATAGAGAAATAAATGTCTCATGTTCTCAGAGGTGGTTCACTGGTATAATTCTCTTATCCTATAGGAGATCTAGGTTGGATTCCCTGACAATGCACCTCACAGGAAGCCCACATTCATGAGTGGAGGCTTACATTTGCTTATGACGCTAAACATCCTTCTGGGAAGCTTCTAGACTAACTACTTATACACCTATTTATACACTTCTAGCAATCTATTTATACACATAACCCAATGAATACTCACAAAGGCTCAACATACAATCACAGGACTATTATAAGACTTGGGGTACCTACGATTTGGGACTGACCTCATGTCAGTTAACAGCAACATAGCTCATAAACTTCGGAGCGAATAAAACTTGTTGTTAAAAGGAACAGCATTTCAAAAATAGCAAAATACAAAGACGATTAATTCTTTAAATGACTCATAACCAAGAGAAAGGCAACGATGTTGTACTCTATGTATTCAAGTCTCATGCCGCCCCTCTGCTGTCCGGAACATGGACCGCTCTCATCAAACAGAGTCTCCACTGGGGCCTGACAAATTGCTGGATTTAGCACTGGGATTTGAACTGGCTGTGGCAGCTGTGGCATCTGTAGAGGAAGTTCTCGCCTTGGCCCGCTCTTCCTCATCCCTCAATGCACCCTCATACCAGGTAGGGAAGGCACTTGGGACAGTATCATTGATCCTGGCCAGAAACTCTAGGACTTTCATCTTGCTTGTTTCTGCATGGGCCCTTGGGCCCCAGCGGAACTCATAGCGGGCAGGATCACTGTTGAGCACCTGTTGGTATAACAGGTACTTTTTCTCCACCAAACCTCTGGTGATGAACTGCCTAGGGTCCCCATAAACTGGATGCAACTTCTCAGCATACACGCCTGTTTTATTCAGCACTTGCCAGATCTTCTCCTCAGTGGCTCTGTTGCCCTCCATGAAGATCACACTCAGGATCAGTAGAAGCACCCCAGACCTGGGCACACCATGTTCATTATGCAGGATGTCTTCAGAGGTGAAATCTAGAGTGTTGTGGAAAACAAAGGAGTTTCCAGCAGGATCGTCTTTCTCCAGTCTGATGCCAAAGACAAGCTCTATACACTCACAGACTTTCTTAAATATCACAGGGAAGTAGTCTTCATACTGTTTGGTGACAGCTGCCAGCAGTTCTGCCTTTGTGATGGGCCCCTTTGTGCGGTACTTGAGGAGCAGGAAATGCAGCAAATCAGCCACTTTTTCCTGCATTACACCTCTGATGATGGACTCAACATCTGGCTGGCCCTCCCCGGTGCCCAGAGACTTGCCTTCCTGGAAAGTACTAGAAGCCTCTGACTCTGAAATTAAAGAAGAAATTGCTCTTGGAGAACTTGGGGGTGTCTCAAGATCCGACACTTCTTCCAAGGTTTCCGGATCATGAGAGGGAGAGGAGGGTACAGAAGAAGCTGGGGAGAGAGAGGGGAAGGAGAAGCTCATGGGAGATGATGGAGAGGATTCTTCCTCTTCCTCCTGCTCCTCTTCCTCCTCCTCTCCCTCTTCCTCCTCCTCCTCAGGAAAGTGTGCATTCTGTGCTTCCATTTCGTCCTGCAGGTCTCCACCCAGTGCATAGCGTGGACGCTTCGGAGCACCAGCAGGAGGCATGATGAGAGTGGTTTCAAGGAGCAGACAAGAGTGTGGGAGCTGGATGTCCACAGGCCTAATGAAGAGAGGGAGAGAGAACAGATGGCGCTGAGAAACAGAAGCTCAGCAGCTCTGACAAAGGCCCACTTGCAGGTGTTTTGTATGGGTCTCTCCTGTCCTTCTTGGCTAAGCTGAAAAATGCCCAGGAAGGAATGAGGTCTAGGCCCCCTGGGTGCAGCCCACTAACACTGCCTGAGGTTCCCAAGCCTGAGAGTATGGCAGGGGTGGAATGAGGAAAGGAACAGTAACATTTACATCTGGGAGCCCTGCCTGAGTTCTCCCTGGGCTGATGGCTACGGGGAGAGCTAAGAGAACACTGAGCTGTGAGGGGTGACACCGGGAGTGGTTGTGACTGTTGCGTGCCGTCGGGGCACCCTCCAGTGGGTTTTCAGAGGCAGTCAATTGCTCGGGAAGGAAATGCCCACCTTTCTCCCATGGAGCAGCGGGTGGATTCAAACCTCAGGCCGTGGAGATGGCAGCACAGCTTTTCACCACTACACCTCCCGCGCTTCCTGAAGCTCTGCTCTTTGAGAGCAGTACAGAAAGCAAGAGGGGGAGCCTCTTCCCTTGATGGTGGGGGTCCTCCGGCCTGCCTGCTGGGCCCCACCTTTCCTCTTAGCACAAGCAGAACCCCTTCTCTAGCTCACCTGCCTCCAGCCCCTCTGAGGCCCCAGCAGGAGGTCTGGAAAAAGTAACACCAGAGAACCCTACGGGGCTTCCCAAGGCTGTCTGCAGGGGCAGGGAGTATCTGGCACCTTTGGGGCCCGTAACGGTTCCCTCGATCCTTCTTTTTTGTTGTTGTTGGGATTTCTTTAAATTATTAATGATTTTTTTAATGCAACATATATATTTTAACAGTACAACGTTTCCATTAAAATTTCCCCCATTTATTCATTGTTGCACAATTTCCTCCCTGCCCACCCCTCCCCCCCAGTTCGTTTTTCTCTTTGAAATGAACAAAAAATTTTTTTTTTCATTGTGATACAATTCCCTCTAAAGCGCATCTTTCCTCCTGAAAGGCGGCTACCCTATCCTTTCTGTATCCCGGAGGCCGGGACCTTCCTTCAGCCCAAGACTCCGAGAAAGGAGTGAGCATGGCGCCTTCCTCCGGCAGAGGAGGCGGGTTTCTTTGGGGTCCCCTCTGCGTGGGAAGTCCCACAGTTCTCCTTTAGGGTCCTTACCTTGATTCTTGATTGGATTTGCGACCCTCCTCAGTGAACCCACCACAGGAGCTTCTTCGGAGGACTCGCCAAAGGGCCCTCAGGTGCACAGAGTACGAGTGGGCATGCCCAACATCCGGACACTCTGTGTGGGGCTGGCACAGGGTGGAGCCTCAACTGAACATTCTGGAAGAGGTGGGGGAAGCAGCCCCCTCCCACTCCTCCACCGGCCTCATTCACTCCCCAGAGTCCACCACCGCTTCCTTTATGCCTTCACCTGTGCCCAAGACCTCCATCAGCCCTAGACCCGGGGGGAGGCCGTGAGGGCCCGTCTCTCCGCCTCTGCGCTGGGAAGACACATAGTCCTCGCTCGAGGTCCTCACCTTGCTCTCTGCCAGAGTCTGGGCCTCTTCTTCAACTGACCCCTCTGGGGAGCACCACACGTCGGTCCGATGTGAAACTGCGCAAACGTGAGCCTGCCTGGGCCTTCCAGGGGCTGCTGTAGGGGTGGAACACCGAACTTTCTGTCTGGTTGCTGGGAGGTTGTCTTCAGTCTTTCCTAAGGTTTCATGTTTACTTCTCATTGGTGCGCACCCGAGGCTACTTCCGTCTTCCCTAGAGCCAAATAAGCCTTTATATGCATGAGATAGACAAAAAAGATACTTGTCAGTACTGCCTCCAGTGCTTACAGCCGGAGCAGATATGCTTGGATCCCTGTCTGGGCTGAGAGGTGGGTTCTACCCACTCTGATTGCCGTGAGACGCCTCCCCCTAAATGGAAAGGTGGTGTCTCTGGGCCAGTGTTTCTTCCTGTAGACCCCAGCTTTCCCAAAGGTTGACAACACTGGAACACGTTCCAGTTCACTTCATAGGTGGGAAATTTCTTTAGCCCTCTTGCAGGGTCTTCATCTTGATCAAGCACCACCTGGGACCTCTTCCTCTGCTGATGTGAATCCCGCCCCCTAAAACAGAGATCCTCATCTTCCTAAGACCCTCTCCGTTAAGTCAAAGTCCCCGAACACGACACAGCCCCTTCCCTTTCATGGGCTGGCAGCAACGGCAATTTGGGGAAGCTGATATCTCCCTATAAAGTGAGAGGACAGAGGACTTGTACATCCGTCCTCTGTGTTCTTACTTCAATTTTTGTGAGAATCTTTCTTCTTCCTCCAGAAAATTGCTTTCATCTCTCTCTGACATAGAAGTTAGAAAAAGCCACCATACCTCACAGGCCTTTAAGGCTGCCAATCTGGCCCATTTTTATCTGGGATGAGTGATTTGATATTCTCTTAGGGTGTTCAACTTTATGCTTGGCAGGCTTGGGACTCCTCTGTTAACTTGAATCTATTATTCTGTGGTCCAAGTCCAGCCTTCCACGACAGGAATGAAGCATGGTGCTCATTTTGCCAGCTGTTTCACCTGAAGTCTTTTGCCTGGATAGATACCTGAATGGATAGACTAAGAGGCTATCATGTGAACAAGCTAGGGAACACTGCATGGCCTAAAATTAAGAAAGATATGAGTTAACATTGTACCTTTCTCCATTCCTATTTAATTTATATGTTGAGCAAATTGTTCAAGAAGCCGGAGTCTCTGAAGAAAAATGTGGCACCAAGATTGGAGGAAGACTCACAACCTTGCTTGCTAAAAGGAAGGAAGACTTGAAGCACTTGCTGCAGAAGATCAAAGACTATAGTCTTCAGAATGGATTGCATCCCAATGTCAAGAAAACAAAAATGCTCACCACTGGACAAATAGGCAACGTCATGATAAACGAAGAAAAAATTGACATTGGCAATGTTTTCATCTTAGTTGGATCCACAATAAATACACTTGATATCAATAGTCAGGAGATCAGGAGATGTATTGTATGGTAAAGTTTGTAGTCAGGGACTTCTCCAAATTATTGAGGAGCAATGAGATCCACTTGAAGACTAAGATATGCCTGATTCAGACCATGGTCTCTTCAGTCACTTGCTAGGCATCTGAAAGCTAGACATGAATAAAAATGGCAGAAGAATCAATACTTTGAAGCTGTGGTGCTGGAGAAGAGTGCTGAATTTCCTATGAACTGTCAAAAGCACAAACAGATATGTCTTAGAGTGTGTGCCGTCAGAGTGTTCCTTGGAGGTAAAGATCATAAAGCTTTCTCAAATACTTTGGGAATGTTACTAGGAGAGGCTGTTTCTTAGAAACAGACATCATGACTGGGAAGCAGGAGGGACGGCAAAAGGGAGGAAGATTATCAACCAGATGGATTGACACAGCGACTGTGGCAATGGGCTCAAGTATGCAGAGATTGTAAAGTTTAGGACAGAGTTCAGATCTGTTGTTCATAGGGTTGCTATGAGTCATATTCAACTTGAAGGCACCTCACAATAACAACCGAGATTCAAGAAGCCCTGGCAGTGGTCTGGATCAAGTAACTGAAAAGATCAGAGGTTTGAACCTACCAGCTGAGAGATATGTCATCTCTGCCATGTCAGAGCATGTGTCAACTGCGACCCTTGAAAAGAAAGATTTCTGGTCCCAAACTAGATGCTGATTAGGGAGCTGAGTGGCCATGACAAGAGGTAAACTGGGGGAGAAAATTCACGAGGGTGTCTCTTTGGAAAGTTTTTGTACTAATATATATTCTAGCCACAAGAGGCTGAGCGATGTGATTTTTGTGATATCCCAGTTTTCATTTTTTAACCTTTAGTTATGTTGTTTATAACACTTTAGTCAGACTTATACCTGATTTTATACTCTGAAAATCTAGCAGATTTTCAGAGGCTGAAAATCACGCTGGGGGACATTGTCCATCTTTCTCCCATAGAGCAATTGATGGAGTTGAATCTTCTGCCTTTGGGGTGGATTAGGAGCACAACTGCTTACCCAGTTGGCCCCCAGATCTCCCTCTTTAGCCATAGTGAGAAATACTATTTTGTCTCTCTACCAAGTATGTGTGTAGGTTTTATCTATCCATCTAGTTTTAGGAAAAAAATTACTTTCTTTTGTTATTCACAAGGAGCCCTAGTGGTCGAGTGTGTTATGTGTAGGATTGTCCTGAAAATCGACATGTTGAATCTGCCAGGGGCTCCATGGGAGAAAGATACACAGTCTCTCAGTCTCTTCCCATAAAGATTTACAGCCCCAAAACCTGATACTCGACTAGATGGCACTGGGTGATTTAGTCACTCTGATTCTTGCTGGTTCATTCTAGTCTGTTGTTGGAATTTTATTAAATTTCTCTCTCGTTCTCTCTCTCTCTCTCTCTCTCTCTCTCGGCTTAGTGGGTAAAAACTTTTCATTGCCTATCCAATGGCAGGCAGTTCAAATTCTCTAGATGTTCTGTAGGTAAAAAAATCAGCAGTCTCTTACCAAGTGACTTACTGCCTCAAAGCCTGCTGGAGGGTTAGCTATGAGTCATTTTGTGTCTTATTTTTTTTTTTTTTAAGACTAACCCTCACCCTTTAAACTGGTTTCAGGTGTTTACTAGCATGTACTCTGGAGTCATCTGGCCTCAATAAGTCCAGTCTTACCTTCTATCCTGATATTACCCCATGATAACAGACATCTGTAGGCTGAGGCATTGCCCCAGATTTCTACAGTTAGCTACGGACCTCTGTTTCATTGCTGTCCAGACAGAAGTGATGCACACGCGACCCTACAGTGGGTTCTCTGAGGCCGTCAATTGAGTGAAGGGGAAGGGAGATTGTCCATAGTTCTACCTCAGAGCACCTGGTGGATTCAAAGCACCAGAGAGTCTCCATATTTGGGTTAACAAGGCAACACATCTGGACTCTGCCTCGAGAGCTCTCAAAGTAGAGGCAGTGGTTTCAAAACCTTTTTCTAGCCCAGAGTGAGGTTCACTGCAAATCCAATGGTTGTGCAACTCCAAGAGTTCAAATCCACCAGCTGCTCTGAGGGGAAAAGATGGGTATTTTCCTTCTATTGCAAGTTACAGATTTAGAAACTTAACAGAGGGTCACTAGGAATCAGAGCTGAATCATGGGCAGTGAGTTTGAGTTTGGACTTGAGGCTGCTTTCTTTTGAAGGCCAAAAGCACTCCCAGACTTTATTACCACCTTGCCTCCTCCCTCACCACAAACATACACATTAATTCAATCCAGACTTGAGACTCTCTCAGAGGTTTTTCATATTTGATAGAATACATATATAAATGAATATGTATAATATATATTATAAATATGTATTGTTGTTAAGTGCCGTTGAGTCATCTGTGAACCATAGCGACCCTATGTACAGCAGCTCTGAAGCCTGCGCTGTCCTAAGCCATTCGTACTGTCTCTGACATTGCCCCAGTTACTGTATCATCCATCTCATCCAGGGTCTTCCTCTCCTGTGCTGTCCCTCCACCCACCTGGCCAAATGCCCAAAGTATGTGAGATGGCGTTTAAAAATCCTAGCCTCCAAGGAGAGACTTGGTTTCACCCTCTGAAATACAGACCTATTTGTTTTCTTGGCAGTCCATGATACCATTCAAGACGCTTCTCCAGCATCACAACTCAAACACACCAATTCTTCTTCTATCATCTTTAGTCATTGTCCAGATCTCTGGTACATAGAAGTCATTGCAAAGACCATGGCCTGTATCAGAAGCACCTTAATTTCTAGATATAATACATATATACACATAATGGTAGTTTTAAAATTATATATCCAAATACATGTATTTTCTTTATTTTCCCTTTTATAGTCTTCCTGGTTTAATTTTGAGAGCAGAAGACAAAAGCCCGAGTTTGACTGTCTTGGTGGCAAGTGCAGGTAGGGCACTAAACCTTTAAACTAAAACAATTGGACTTTTTATGGTATTTTGTTCTCTATCGATGAATCTTGTACACTGATGTCATTATTTGGAATTTTTTTTTAAAAAAATAGCTTATCAGTGAACCGGGATATGTGATAAGTAAACTCACCAAAAGACTGGCAATTCAAATCCACCATCTGCTCTAGGGAAGAAAGATGGCCAGTCTCCCGGCTTAAAGATAAAGAGTCTCAGAACTGAGTAGATGGCGATAGGTGAATATCAGTTAACCTTCCTAGTGGCCCCTTGTACATTATTTGGGGAACATCCTCTTTGGTAATTTTCTAATTTAGTTGATATGTCACAATATTCTTTATTATAAGCTCTAATTGTTGTCATTAGGGAACAGCCCTGACCCCCCTCCTGTCCTGATCATCTCTCACACACTGGAACCCGTTGCTGCAGTCACTGTCAAGTTACCTCGTCGAAGGCATTATATCTTTAAACACTTGGACCTGTCATCAAAGAACTAATCGGCAAGTATATTGCTCTAATTTATTTTTGTTATTAAAAGAGTGTGTGAAGTATTGGCATTATATCTTTAAACACTTGGTAACATTCACCAGTGAAAGTGAAACAACACCCCCTCCATTTCTTTTTTCCCCCCCTCTTCATCCTTATTCTTGCCTTTTTAAAAGAAATCCATTAGGCAAAATGCATATGAAAATATATAGAAAATGAAAGTATCTTAATATTGTGTCAGATTTTCCTCATATGCCCTCATAGTCCTCATCATCCTGATGTCCTCTCATTTTCCTAAGCTTTTTGCCAGCTTGGG